ATCGCAGCGAGATACCCATTCTACCACTGAAGCCTTCATGCCCTTCCAATAGAAATGCCCTTTAAGCCGTTGATAAGTAACCTGTGCTCCGGAATGACCTCCTACTGGCGACGAGTGAAACAAATGAATCAGCTTTGAGCGTAGGGACCCAGTGCTGCCCACTACGATGGCTCCTTTGTAACGAAGGATGCCCTCGGAAAAAGACCAGAGAGAAGGCCCATAAGAATTAACAGCAACAGCAGCTATCAAGGCTGACACTTCCACATCCCCCACATATGTCTCTTCTATCTCCACTAACCATTCAGGTAACACTGTGGTGAGAGCACTACAAGTTCCCTCTACCTTGTCATCTTCAAATACTCTCGACAAAGCATCTGCCGCACCATTAAATCTGCCCTTCCTGTATTGAATCTGAAAATCCAAACCCAAAAGCTTCACTAACCCTTTTTTTTGAATCGCTGTGTGCACCTTCTGCCCAAGCAAGAACTTTAAGCTCTCATGGTCCGTCACAATAGTAAACGGACGACCCTCCAAATAATGTCGCCAATGGTCCACTGCCAAGAGAACCGCCAAGTATTCCTTCTCGTATGTACTCAACCCTTGATTGCGCAAGCACAAAGCCTTGCTGAAATAAGCCAGGGGGCGACCTCCTTGAGAGAGAACCGCTCCAACACCAACTCCACTTGCATCTGTTTCAAGCACAAAAGGAAGAGAAAAATCGGGTAAAACCAGAACAGGGGCAGTACACATGGCTTCCTTAAGACTCTCGAAAGCTCCTTCAGCTGCAGAGTTCCATTGGAACCCATTCTTCTTCAATAATTGCGTCAATGGCCTGCTGATGGTGCCATAGTTCCGGATGAACTTCCTGTAATAGCCTGTTAACCCAAGAAATCCCCTTAATTGCTTAACACTGCCAGGGCGAGGCCATGTCGTCATTGCTGCAACTTTGGATGGATCGGTGGAAACACCCTCCTTGGTAATAATATGTCCCAAGTACTCTACTTTGGACTGGCCAAAAGCACACTTGGATTCCTTGGCAAACAACTTATTCTCACGTAGCAGTTGTAAAGCAATTCCCAAGTGTTGAAGATGTGATTCTTCTGTCCTGCTGTAAACCAATATGTCATCAAAAAAAACAAGGATGAACTTCCGCAAATATTTGCCAAACACGTGATTCATAAGGGACTGAAAGGTTGCTGTGGCGTTGGTGAGGTCGAATGGCATCACTCTGAACTCATAGTGCCCCTGATGAGTCCTAAAAGCCGTATTGAATTGATCATCAGGGTGCATTTTGATTTGGTGATAACCAGCCCGTAAGTCGAGCTTAGAAAAGATGACTGCTCCATGTAACTCGTCCAAAAGATCCTCTATATGTGGAATGGGAAACTTGTCCTTGATGATGGCAGCATTAAGTTCCCTGTAATCTACACAGAAACGCTAGCTACCATCTTTTTTGCCAATCAATAGAACTGGGGAAGCATAGGGACTGTGACTCGGCTGTATGAACTCAGAGGCAAGCATTTCCGATACCAATTTGTCAGCCACGGCCTTCTGATGGTGTGGGAAACGGTAGGGTCTTATGTTGACGGGTTTAGCATTTGGTAAAAGGGGAATGGTATGATCATAGCTGCGGGTTGGAGGCAGGGAAGAGGGAGCAGCAAAAACGTCAGAATAAGAAGCTAGGAGAGGTTTCAAGAAGGCAGGAGTAGGACTGGAAACTGGGGTAGCTTCTATGGCGAACACTGCACCCGTAAGATGAGTGGAAGGCTTCTTAAGAAGCTGTTGAAAGTCACGGCCAGAAAGCATCCGACATTGACCATCTTTGGAAAGGCCTTGAAGATGCAGAGTTCCCCCTTTCCAGTCAAAAGAGAGCTGCCGCTTCTTCAAAATCATTTGGAAGGGACTAACAGTCTCCAACCAATCCCAACCCAAAACCAAATCATGTGAAGGTAATTCCAATGTTCTAACATCAAAACCAAACCCCTGACCCTGCATTTGCCAACTAAATCCTCTACAAACCGCATTGCTAAGCAGGGTGTGTCCACTAGCTACTTTCACCCTCATAGGAGCAATGGATTCAGTGCGACAGTTCAATTCTGCAGCCCTAATCGAGTTCAGAAAGGTATGTGAACTACCAGTATCAATTAGAATTGTAACCTCTTTGTCTCCTGTAACAGCTGGAATCAGTAAAGAATTCCCAGAGAATCCTGACCCCATAGTTTGCAGAGAAACTTCTATCTCGACGTCCTGAAAGTCATCACCCACCTCCTCAGCTTCACTGAGCAAAGCAGACTCCTCCGCCTGCATAACCTGGAGTTGCTTTTTTCGTGCACAGACGTGACCGTGAAAGTATTTGTCACCGCATCTGTAACACAGCCCCTGCCCGCGAGGAACGGACGATCGCTCACCGGAATGAGGCACAGGGGGAGAAGGTAAGATCTTGGGGGAAATCGGAGAACAAGCCACTGGCCAGCGAGTGGACGAAGATGCCCGAGTCTTCCTCTTCCTTGCGTCAATTGCCACCTCCTCCAATCTCGCATGATATAACGCACTGGCCAGCGTAGGGGGATTAAGCACCTGCACCCTAGGTTGAATCTCATCGTCTAATCCCCCAATGAAACTGAGAATGAAATAGTGCTCATTCAACGCCGGATTGAGTCGAAGCATGCGAGACCGTAACTCTTCGAACTCCTCTTGATAACGCGAAACAGAACTCGTCTGGTGAAGATGATTAAATGATGCCACCACATTCAGCTGCTCCTGCTTGTCAAATCGGCGAAACAGCTCGTCGACGAAATGGCCCCAGATTAATGGAAAACGCCCGTAAGACCATCCCTCAAACCATGTGAAAGCACGACCTTCCAAATAGTAGGAAACCAAATCCACCTTCTGCTCATCTGGAATCGAGTAGAGCTGGAACAGTTTGACGCATTTGCTAACCCAAGCGTGTGGATCAACGCCCGAGAAGTGAGAAAACTCCAGCCTAGGGTAATGATCGAGAAGCGTGGGACGTCGTTGCTGCCGGAAGAACTGAGGATCGGGAAATTGACTAGCTTCAGCGCGCGGTGATGAACGGACCGGCGACTTCTCCCGGCCGCGAGCGATGGACGCCGCCAGCGCGTCAATATTGTCTTTAGTCGACGCCGCCAACGCCGCGATGGCGTCTTTGAGATCCTGGTGATGAGTGGTGATCTGAACCCGAACCTCTGCCATTTGAGCTTCCAAATCCACGATGCGCGAAGTATGAGTCGCCATAGCCAAAGCACAGGCTTCTGATACCACTTTGTAAGGACCGTCAATGGAGTGCTCTGGCGAAATGGGATTCTGGAAGAGAAGAAGCGAAGAGAATGGAAAGGAAAGAGAGGTTTCTTTTATTACTAATAGCTAATTTGGTAAAGTAAGCTACAATTCTGTTATTGGACAAAGATAACCAATCCTCTCACGTCTCTCTCATTTATACCTCTATGCTCCTGCTCACGTCATCCTGCCAGCTGGCTTCCAGTTCGTTACAGGTTACTTGAGGAGAAGTCAAAGAAGATGCGGATAGTGCGAGCGTTATCGGTCCAGTTCGATTCAATCGTCACTTGCCCGCAACCTGCTTCCTCGATGTTAGATCTTACAAGTAGGGATAGCTTTATATTCATAATCGGGAACCTTGACTCTCGACAACCAGAAAAGCAAGCTTTGCTCGCAATCAAGATAATCTCCATTCTAGCTGCCATTGACGGGAAAGAACAGAGAAAGAAGGAAACTTGGCTAATCGCCAGGGAAGGGGAAGAGCGTCGGGAAATTGGGAAGATGTCGCAAGGAACAAACGGTAGACCGAGTTCCTACCCAGCCGTCAAATCTATATGTTACGTGGAATCGACCATCGATTAGGGTTTCTGTTCCTGGAAGGGAAGAAGTGGGAATGGTCTATGCTTGCCTAATCGCTAAATGGATTCGAAGGGAATAACGGAGGGGGAAACGGGAAACCGAAACGGAAAAGCGAACGAAAGAAAATGGGGACCACACGGGAAAAGAGGTGTACAGACATACGGTAGACCTGACCATATCCCACTGGACCCCTAATGCAAAACAGGCGCTATTTATATATTAATAATATAGGAATTGATTCATAAAAAACAATTATAAGTGTTTTTTAATATAAGAAGGCATGCAAAATGACTAAAAAAGGTTTATAATATAAAATATGAATAAATATTATAAAAAAATGAGTCAAAAGGGATCTTCTTATATTTCTTGTAAATTAAATAATATTAATTTTTAACTTATTTTATCTTTAAAATGACATAAATGAAATAAAAGTATATTTTTTTAATTGAAATTAAAATATAGTAACGATAATATTGTATTTTCAAAACAGTGTTTAATGAAGTTCCAAATCAGAGCTTCTGTTTTTGTGTTATACAAAAACACTTTCAGTTTTTCAAAATTCAAACTTTTATAATTGTTTGGTCCTGCATAACATTTTGAAGCAAAAAAACACTTTTAAAAGTCTGGGCAAATATAGACATAGTATGCTTGAATAACATATAGTCTCTGAGGAAGACTATATATCGGAGAAGATGTTGGTTATGGAGCTATTAGCTGGTCACAATGTGGGAAATAGAGAACTTGGGCAGGTTGTATTACGATTTTTGAATACTATATCTAGATATATATTTGTAATAGCTAACTAATTTTTATTTGTAATAGCTGACTTTTGTGCTCGACAACTATTAATCTCTTAAATTTCGGTTGCATTGTAATGTTTATTCTTTATTCTTTTCGACAGATTTATTATACATACACAATGCAGTATTACGAACTTTTATTTTTATGTGGTTAAATACTACTTAAAAAATTCAAATTTGGGACATCCAAATTCAAAACTAGTAGTATTACCACCACTAGAACAAACCCTTATTGGTTGGATCTTAAAGACTAACTTATTTCCATCATTTAAAGTTAAACACAACAGATAAGAAGAAAAAAGCGTCATGATCGGATGATCATCATCACATTATAGAGCAAGCATGCGGATTTTCGTCGCTAAACATGGCAATGGCCGGCTGTTTAACGGCGGAATAAACGACCCGCCGTTGATGATAATCGCGGTAGTAACTATCTTCGTCGTCGTAGTAACTATTAGAAGCCCTGTAGCCGCGCCGCTGCTGCTGCTGATCATCGCCATCGAGATTATGATATTGAATGCCATAAGGCGCTGATGGCTGCGTCTCCAAGAGATAAGCCGGCTGCTGCTGGTAGTAGTAGGATTCCTGGGTGAAACTGAAACTGGTGTACTCTGGACTGTAACCGTACGGCCATAGCTCGGCCCTTCTTCCGGTCCTTCTCACTGCTTTAAGAACCGTTTCTTGGTCGGCATATCCCATCACCGTCACCTTCTGCATCTCCATGTCTATGTCGATGTTGTTCACTCCTGCAATATGCATGATTAATCATTCATTGTATTAGTAAATTGTACAACAGTGGCCGGGTTTATGGTTTGCGTACGTAACGTACCATCTAGTTTCTGAAGAGCTTTCTGAATCTTGGCCTTACAGCCAGGACAATCCATATGAACGCTGAGCTCTGTGATCTGTGGCAATGAGATCGAAGAAAAGTAACAGTTTAATTTTGAGGTATATATATATATATATACTGAAATAAAACAGCATCAATTTTGTACGGTGATGGCATTTTAATTGCTACGTCAACAAGACGTGGATATTCCACATAATTAGTTACCTTGTTGACAAAGTTACACCAGCTGGACAAATATACACACAGGAGCAAGCATACACATATATATTGCTTCACACAAATAAAATCCCATGTCTAGCTAATTAAGATAATCCTTACTATGCAGCAAGCATTTATATTTGTAAGAAGGCAAATAATTAAGCAAGGAACAAAGATACGTAAGGACAAATTCAAGGAATGTGCACTCATCAACGTGACATGATGGAACAAGGTCATCATCAAACTAGCTAGCGAAAATTGACTACAAATCAATGAATCATGATATTAGAGATCATCTAATTTATCTTACCGACATGTCTGATCGATCGAGTTATTAACTGAGAGCAAGATTTGCGCGATTGACCGGAGTGCTCCGATCGAAACTAGCTACTAGGTCGCCGAAGAGTAGTTTGGGAGAATGCAATACAGTAGCTCAGGCAATGGATCGATAGAAGTGGATTGAAGGAAATATGGAGAAAGGGAAGCTGGTCGTTATATATAGAGATGGAGGTGGAGGTGTGTCTTGAGGTGCAAGCAAGCTACTGGTTGAGGCGGTTAGTTGAGATAAAGAATAAAATATGAATTGTAGTTGGTTTCAGCGTTAACTAATTGCTTCTAAGGGACAGAGAATGGGCTACGCGCGCGCCCGGATATTATTTAGAAATATTCCTCAGAAATTTCCCCGCATTTGCATCCTACATGTATTGGTGATGCTTACAAGTCAGACAATATTATATTGCAAGCTGGATTCGATTCGGCTCAAGGATTGGGGGAGTTAATTGCTCACCTCGGGGTGCAATGGTTTGGTCCGTACTACATCGCACAGGACCTAATTAGTATATATTTGGATTGGATTGTATCGAACCGATTATATTGTAGTTCGGTCCTTATTCTATGAATTTTATAATTATTAAAGAAAAGATGAACTGAATTGATGTTTGGATCGAACCGAATGGATCAAAGACAATGATGATCTGATAATTGATTCTCTAATATCTTCAAAAATAAACTATGATTCGCATGAATTCGATCCAGTCCAAACATGAACAAACCGTTGCACACCCCCTGTACAAGAAACTCCTGTAAATAAACTATTTGGTGTCCGGCCCCTTGGCCAGTTTTTTTAATCATATCTATATATTAGTTAGTACATCTTCAGCCAAATTAATAATTTCAACATTTTAGTTTGATTATTCATGTTTTATTATAGCTTAATTAAATTTAGGTTGGAATTTGCATACTCAATATAAAGCCTTAAATTCGGAATAAAGCTTTTTCTCTAAAGCACTCAAATATTAATTGAGGATTACTCTATCTACGTTTCTTTTTACTAATTCATGTGAAATATTTTTATTTATGAAAGTGAAAGAAATAACAATTCGTCAATAATTAATGACTGAGAAATAGGCCTTCCGAGTTCCAATTACAACCCAAGTTTCCATCCCATTGCATATTGGCGGCAGTTTTATCAACTTCCTTTTTTCCGCATTTTACCTTCCCTCTAAATCGTATTGCAATTCATCATAGAAATATACTACTTTCAACCGTGTTTCATCTTCTTATCGAAGTTAGGCTACTAAGCCTGCAATTTGTCTAAATTAGTGGGGGGGGAAATCGTGATCTACAAAATACATAGCTCCAAACCGCCAACAACTGTCACTTATTGATGTTTAATTGTAATGTCATGGAAAAAAATACTTAAACTCTATTACTCATTTCCCGGCTTTTCAATTCATTATCACCATCTATAAAAAGTTTTTCTTCTTAATTCAATATTAGTATCTTACTTTCATTATATCCACAAATAATGAAGGTGACAATTGTAACGATGTTGATGCATTTTTGCATCATCTTGGTGTAGTTTACGTTTCCCTCTATTTTCATTATTTTCCAATAATGTTTATATTTGTTGTTATTTTCTTTTCATCATGCCATTTAAGCAAAGGAATTTTATTTTATTGGTTTCTTTCTCTCTTTCTTCCGTGGCCACACTCCCCGATATTCTAGTAATAGAAATTCGTCCCTTTCCTCCCAATTTTCCCCAACTAATCTCTTTCCTATTATTTTAGCAACAAAATCCATTTTTTTAGTGCAAGCACAAATACGTTAATATCCATCCGAATTATGCGGAATGAAGAGCACTGATTGATGTGGCAGAAATTTTCTGTTGACATTCTCTTATATTTATTTGTAGATTTGTAGATGTAGAAGTTATATATACGGTGAGTGATACAAAAAGAGCGGGCCTGTATATGGTAATGGTCCACCTGTTAGAACCAATGACAGTTAACTTATGGCAACCACGATGGGAGACGTGTTCATTGACGACCAAGACTTTAATTTCATATATGATTGTACTCCAGGCTTCAGGCTATATACATACATATATTACTCTTGCACATAATTACAACTCGGTCCATTGACCCGACCTGAAATCGCCTGAAAAATAGAAATTTTTTTAACACGAAATCTGAATAACTCGAACTCGATAACCCGTGATTTTTTGGTTCAGGTTGGGTTGAATAGCAGGTCGACCCGTTAGACCCGTTCCATTTTATATATCACTCCAAAAATATGATTAAATCACTCATAAATTGGTGAGATATTTAAAAAAATTACAAGGATTTGAATGACATGTTTCGAGTTTAAGGATAATTAAATATCATGTATTTCTTGTAGTATTATTACTCCTATGATTGTTTTTTAACGATTTGCGCACTTTGTATTTCATTTCATTAGCGTGGAAGGATTTGAGAATATGTTAATTGACATGTGTTAGGTAAACTATTGTCATGCATATGTGAAAATTTGTGTTCTTTAAGAAAATATGAAGCATGTTTGATATTGTTTCTAAGAACGCTCATAACCTGAAACGACATGTAACCCGATCCGAAACCGAATGGGTTGGGTCAATATGTGACCCAAAATTAGCCAACCAAGCGTGACTAGACCCATAACCGAAGTCCCCAACCCGAAATTACCCAACCCGACCTGATTGCCAGGTCTATCAACTGTCATAGTCTACGGCAGGAAACAGAAAATGAAAAAGAAAAAGAAAAAGAAAAAGAAAAAAAGAAATAGTATCTAACGAATGAACTCGTTTTCCCCCCATAATTTGTACATCAAATAAATCACGATTAATTTGTTTTGTCCTTGTAAAAAATTTCAAAATTTGAGTTAAAATGAAGGTGGTAACGAGTGATGTGAATTTTTTTGTCAAAATATATTAAAAATAAAATTTATTTTGTAGATCACAACGAACTCATTTCGTCTGTGAAAAAAAAAATCCAAATTAGAAAGAAGAAGATAAGGGCGATTAAGAAATATAAAGGAAAATAAAAGGTCATTTATTCTCACGACTTAGAGCTAAAGCCTTATGCGCTACTCAAAACTAGGTAACGTGTGCTTGTGGGATTTGGGTGATGTATTTGACAACCAAATCCCAAGCATTATGTATTTGCCAAAATAACATTGTTTGTTGAGGTTTACTTATCCGTGGGGCTCACGGATTTGTTCATTTTTTAGCTCCAAATCCGTGGACCCCACGTATTTGGAAATACCACATTTCATTTGGTATTTGGTCATGGAAGGCAAGGATTTGTAAGCCTTGGTACAAAAACCTGTAAATCCATAATCAAAATCAACTAAACAAACAATGTTATCTTTCAAATACACAATGCAATAAATTCATCTTTAAATCCAAAGGTTTTTTAAACTCATTCATTTACAAATCCAACAAGCAAAGGAGTAACTGACATTTGATTATATATATATATGGGTTATACACCATATTTTATCGTAGAAGGTTTTGCACGCCAATTACATTTTTTAATCATTTTTTCTAGGAACAGGCTTTCTTATTTGTGCTGCTTAGCTTTACCTAGGTAGGCTTCGGTCCGGTCCGGACTGGATCGGACCAAAATCAGGAGAACTACGGTCCGATAGTGAAAGACATCTCAGGATCAAGCACCGGACTAATAATGCATTCAATCCGCTTTGGTCCGATCAAAATGTAAATTCGATCCATTTTTCTTCAGCATTTATGAACTTCACAGGACCTAAGACCGGACCATATTATATTGTGTGATCCAATCCAAATATCAATCCGATCCGATGTGGTCCAATATAAACCAACCCATTGCCCACCCTAGCTTTACCACATCATCAATCATAATAAACATTTGAGCCGGATATATACATATATAATTTGGTTTTACTTCATAATGACCTAGTTGCTAAAGTTCTGGGAAATTTCCAACCATCCAAGCCGCAGGCCCCACCGCCCTTTCACCATCACCTACGATTGCAACAGCTTATAGGCTATAGCTAGTCCGGAACCGGAAGTGCTACTGCGAGGTACCAAACTTTGAAAGATGCTTTAAATTTAATTCTTCTATAAAAATTTGCTCTCTCCAAGATTGGAGTTTCTCATAATTAAATACGACTTGAAAGTCTCTGTTCGTTCTAAAAGTGAAGTCAAGTCGTCAAGCGAATCAATACATACATGATTGGAGTGACTGATTTAGAAATAAAAGAGAGATTAATTGGCTCTCTTAATGAAACTAGGTATAATCTGCAACTCCGCATCATTCATCAAGTTTTGAATAGGTTGGATTTCAGGGAAAGGATAGGGTGCTAACTTTATAGGGAGTTAGCACTATAATAACTAGCATCTAAATCGTTTACTATATTTTAGATTTAATGGCTACAAATATAGAAAAGACATAGTAGGAATTGAACACTCAAAATTAAAAAGGCAAATTTATTTATTCTTTCCGTAAATGGACGGATTTTGTGTGATTGCTCTATTGACGGTTGTTATTCCCGATTTTGCGAGTTCCTTTTCATTACTTATTTT